CTTGCTTCTAAAAATTAAAAGTTCAGCTAAAATACCCTACTCTGTTAATACATTCAGAAGTTGATAAAAACAAAAGATTAAAAAGCCAACTCCTTCTGGGTTCTAAAGAGATTATGTCAGATAAGAACGTGCCATTTTCAAGAGGATAATGGAAGTTGGGTTTGTCACTAAGTCAAATTCCAATTCCCACAGCTCATCAATATAGACTATGGACCAGGTGAGGGCAAGGGACAATGTGAAGGTTCCTCCCAAGTGGCCACAGCCTTGAACTGATGCAGTTTGAAGTATACCTGATGAAGGGTTTGCTAATCTCTGCAAGAGCCTCAGACTAAAGATTGACTTAATCCTAGCCCTGGTGATTTGTTCAAAAGTCACAGACTTTATTTTTACACTGCTTCAGTCTGCAGCCTGGAAAATTCTCTCCCTCAACACACTGAGAGTTTCCACTGCCATGAATGGAAGATCTGAGTGGGTAAAAAGCGATGAACGGGGGATGGGCTGGTGCCCAGAGGAGGAAGTTGTTGAATTGCCTTGGTAAAGAATGGATACACCATGTTTCACAGCTTTGTTGATGGGTGTAATTATTGGTGTTGCCTTTCCCTTTTCTTATGTGCTGGGATTCTAGAGCACGGCTCCAGATTTGTGATGGTCTGATGATGGACCCAGCAGCTTTTCTTCAGGGCCTGAAAATGAGGAGGGGTGTGGGGAGACAGTGGAGAGAAATCAGTGGTTAGGATTCGTTTTTAAACTATAAATCACTAAAAACATCGAGAGCATGCACTATGAGTGCCTTAGGTACTGTTGTGTTGCCGTGAAGAGACACCATGACCAAGGTACCTTATAAATGAAAACATTTAATTGGGGGGGGTTGGTTATAGTTTTAGAGGATGAGTCTAAGACTACCTTGGGGACATTGCATCTACCAGGCAGGAAAACAATGGAGCAGTAGCTGAGAACTTATATTTAATCCGTAAGGGGTGGGCAAGGGGGGGTGGAGAGTGGTAGTGGTCTTTTGAACCTCAAAGCTCACCCTTTATGACACGCCTTCTCCAACAAGGCCACACCTCCTAGTCCTTCCAAAAATAGCTCTACTGACTGGAAACCTACAATTCAAACATAGGAGACTACGAGGGGTGTGCTGGGTAGTTTTATGTCAATTCGACACAGGCCAGAGTCATCTGTGAGGAGGGAACCTCAGTTGAGAAAATGCCTCCATAAAATCAGACTGTAGGCAAGGATGCAGAGCATTTTAGTGATTGATGGGGGAGGTCCCAGCCCATTGTGGGGTCGGGATCCTGTGTTGTGAAATATTTAACTATGTAAACATGTGCTATATCTGTTTATTCTGGGGAATATTATTTTAACTGCGTGAAGGTGTGTTGCATTTGTTTATATCGCATTTGTTTTAACAATGTAAGGATGTGTGCTTAACTATGAAAAGATGTGTTTTATCAGTTTCACCTGGCTAACTTAAGGCACCTGATTGGTTTAATAAACAGCTGAAGGTCAATAGTCAGGCAGAGAACGGATTGGTGGGGCTGGCAGGCAGAGAGAATAAATAGGAGGAAAAATCTAGACTTGAGAGGAGAGAATGAGGAAGAGGGAGACAGAGGAAGAGAGAGGAAGAAAGGAAAATGCCGGGGCAAGAAGCCAGCCAGCCACCAGCCAGGCAGCCACTGGAGGAAGCAGGAAAATAAGACACACACACACACACACACACACACACACACACACACACACACACACAGAGAGAGAGAGAAAAGCCCCAAGGCAAAAAGTAGTTAAAGATAAATAGGTTCAATTAAATTAAAAGAGCTATCCAGAAAGGAGCCTAAACTAGGCTGAACATTAAACACTAATAAGAGATCTCTGTGTCATGATTTGGAAGTTGGTTGGTGGGCCAAAAGAAAAAGTCTGGTAGATACCTGGGTTGCTATAAGAAACCCACAGAATCAGCTGACCCAAAAGCTAGTGAGAGATCACTCACTCGGGTCTCTGACAAATGGGGAACCTGTATAAGCCCAAACTAGACTTCCTTAATATAGGTGACAATGGTGTGACTGGGACAATATATGAGGTCACTGGATGTGGGTCCAAGGTCTAACACTAATGCACAAACTGACTTAGTGGAGCCCATTCTATGTGGAGAGATACCTTGCCCAGCCTAGACACAGGGGTATGGTGTGTGGGGTGGGGTGGGATGGTGGAGAGGTGCCTTGGTCCTGCCTCAAAGAGATGATGGGACAGACTTAGTAGACTCTCTAGGGGAGGCCTTACCCTCTGAGGAGCAGATGGGAGGTAGGAGGGTAAAGTAGGGGGAAAAGGGAGGAGAGAAGGGGGAGGGAGTTGGGATTGGAATTAAAAAAATAATTTAAAAAAAGCAAAAAGCAAAAATAAATGTATACCTCAAAAAACTAAAAAAAGAAAGATAAAAGCAAAAGAAAGCAGTCTGAGCAAGGCATGAAGATCAAGCCAGTAAGCAGCATCCTCCATGGCCTCTGCATCAGCTCCTGCCTCCAGGGTCCTGCCCAGTTTGATCCTGACTTGCCTTCCCTCACTGGACTATGATATGTAAGTCAAATAAGCCCTCTCCTCCTCCAAGTGACTTTGGTAATGAGGTTTCATCACAGCAACAGTAGCCCTAGGACAGAGAGCCAGTCTCATTCAAACCACCCTAGGGAAAATGGCCCAGATTATTGGGGCCATCATTATTCATTCCCAGTCTTCCACACATTAAAAAAAACAAAAACAAAACAACAACAGCAAACCTGTTACGAAGGAAGTAACTGATGAACATGAAGGAAAAGCCACAGCATTCCCCCAAAATGAGATACAGAATTTCAGTTTGGAAACATTCCAGATATTTAATCTGTTCTAAATGATTCTCTCCATGAAGGAAAAAAACAGAACAAAGCAAAACACAACTTCAAGTAACATGCATAGTGTAACCGCAATCGATACAAGAGCATTTAATAATGGCTTTACTGAGATACAAGCCTTCAAAGGCTATGACTGACAAGTTGGAAACACAAATACCCCTTCTCTAAGAAATTAAGCCCCTCCCCCAAGGTCAGCCATACAGCACATAGAACAGTCAATGTCATGTGTCTGACTAGAGTTATGGATGCTGCTTCTCTGAGCCCCTCCCAATCCTTGTTCTTAAAGATGCTGCTACTTTTAGTTCAAAAATGCCAAAAAAAAAATTTTTTTTTTTTTTTTGCACGAGACAGACTTTCCAAAAATTATTCTGCCTGCTCTTTTCACTGGCCCACTCTGTGGCTGAAAGTCTTCTAGTGATGCGCCTGCAACCCCAGGGGCTACAGAATAAGGAACAGACATGTAAGGGACCACTGTGCAGAATCAAGTTGCTTTGTTGCCTTGTGTCAAGCATGAATGCCATTAACATTATTTAACCTCTGCAGCGTCACTGGCAACAGTGTTATCCTGACTGAAACGTATTACATGGTCACAAATTAATGTGCTTTATTGAGTTTATGTATTTCCCGTTTCTTTTTTAACCTCCACAAGAGAGCATTTTAATCAGGATTAGACGGATGATTTCCTAACGTGACAGAGCTAGTATTTTGTTGTCGTTGTTTATTTATTTACTTTTTTTCAAGACAGAATTTTCTCTTTGTAGTTCTGACTGTCCCGATGGCCTGGAACTCACAGAGATCCACCTGCCTCTGCCTCCTGAGTGCTGGGATTAAAGGCTACCACCTCCTGGCTTAGAAATTGGTATTTTTAAGTAACCAAATTATCAGAGCCACATGCCCTAAAGGATTGGGGATCCAAACACATTTTACACTATTAGTCTTAGAATTTCCCATATATCCAGAAAGGAAATAGGACTAAGAAATTCACCACTGGCTGAGAGAGTAGTGGGCAAACAAAGTAGAGTTCAGTGTAACTCCTGGGAAGAACCATCTGATTATTTACCTGTCACTAAGAAGATTTGTGATTCATTTTTAAGTGTGTTTGTGTGTGTGTGTGTGTGTGCGCGCGCGCGCGCTTTTTAGAGGTCTACTTTGTGGCCTTAGTTTTCCTCTTCTGTCTTTATGTGGGTTCTGGGAATCAAATCCATGTCTCCAGGTTTAAATAAGGCTAAAATTACTCAGTTGGGAAAGTGTTAGACCGGAAGTCGCCAGTGTATTGTGACAGGTGCCACTGAGCCATCTTGTTGGGTATAGTAATTAATCTTCCCACACAAACTTAGTTTGTCTTTTAGCATCAGAGGGGCTACTGTGGTCTTCAGAATTGTTCCTCCCATCCCTGCCTTGGTATGTGTACCTTCTAGCTTGTAGGCTCTGTGGCTATGATGGATGGCATATTGGTGAGCAACTCTGGTTGGAGATGAAGCATGGTTTGATAGACAGTTGCTGTCAAAACAGAAGGCACTGAAGACCATCAAAGTAAGAAAAGTAAACTAGGCACAGAAAGGCAAATACGGCATATGGTCTCTCATAAGTAGGGACTGAGTTGTTCATATATGGCATATACACCATGAAACACAGGGAGGAAAAGCAAAAATAGGCAGGTGGAACTGTTCGAAACAAACAAACACACAAGCAAACAGAAAAGCTTCTTCACTTCAAAGGAAACAATAAAACGAAGCCACAAACGACCAGAGAAGATGGGAGAAAATACTTGCAGATAATGCACCTGATGAGGTGCTAATATCCGAAATATGTTGTATACTGGCTAAAAACTACTAGTCAAGGGGATGAGTATGCACTAGAGTCAACTCCCTGCTCTTACATTAATCTGGGTTGGCAAAGAGATGACATCATCCTAGTATTTAAAAACGCATCCTGGAGTCATAGTACATTGTTTTTCAAAATATCCTATGTAAGAGGATAACCTGTTTATGGATACCATTGTCTTTCATTTGATTAATTTTCCTTGGCGTGTCCATACACCTGACAACTTTTGCATCCTTTGGTCCAGGAGCTACCTTCAGGAAGTGAGGTGCTTGCGGGTGGGGAGGGGGTAGGGCTCACCTATGACATGTGGTTTTGTTGTGGTTGTTGCTGCTGCTGCTGTTGCTGCTGCTGAATGAGCAATTGCTGCTGCTGCCGACGCCGAGCTGTCCGCAGCTTTTCAAAGCGAGCCTCCATCTCCTCCAGGACTTTTGGGGTGTATCTGACCACCAGCTTCACACTGTCCTTCGCAGCCTTGAGAAGTTCTACAGCTTTCTCATGATGTTCCCCTTCCACGCTCTAAAAAGACAAGGCGAGAACTTGTTTGTCCCTCCCACCCCACCCCCACTTCGGGGATTAATTTGAAATAACTATCCTGGTAAACAGCCAAGTTGGAGGCAGGCATAGCTCTTCTCTGTAAATCGCTGTACCCAGAAGGCTGAGATAGGAGGGGGTTTCTGAGAGTTCAAAGTGATTCTGGACTGCATTGAAAGCTTCAAGTCAGCCTGGTTGACATTGTGAAAACCCTCTTTCAAAAATAAAAGATGCGTGATGCCCTGGGGTTTATCAGTTTTACATACAACCATAGTTGATGGGACATGCTAACCCTAAAGCAGGAACATCAGAAACTCAAGTCGTCCTTGGCCATATAATGAGTTCAAGATCAACCTAGGGTACAGGATATCATATCTCAAACAAAATAATGATAATAATAATAACAATGATGATAATGATAATAGGAACAAAAACCCTCTTCTATAACAAAATTTTATAAGCCCTCTGACAGAACATAGAAGTATGCAAGTTCCAGAAAACATGGCAAATAAAACAATCACATCATGTTATTATCTGTGTTATAACTGAGCTACAAGTTGGTTAGACTGTATTAAGATACAGGGTGAATTTAGATGGTTTGAGTCATGAGGGCCAAAGACCTAAGAATAAGCCAAATATTCAGAATATTCAAAGGAATTTCTAAATTTCACCTGGAAGAGTAAATGAATGGGTCAATTTTTTTTTAAAAAAAAAAGTTAAAAAATTGAGATAAAGGGAATCTTTCTCTACCAGATAATCTGTAACCGATAACATCTAGAGTGTTTGAAGCACTGAAATTTAGACACAAGAAAAATATTATTAGATAATAATGCAAAACAAATAAATAATAAAAGCTAATTGGTATTCTATTCTCAAACTCTAAATTGAATTATCTTCATTCAAAAACTTAATGCTTTGAATTGCAATTGGGGTATCTTTATTATCATATAAGGGGATTCTTATATGAACATTAGGGAGGAGTGCAATCTCAAAGTCGGACATCCAAAATTTCAGCTTCTGTATTTTAAACACTGCAAAAAGAAAATAATAAAGCAGGAGGATTTTGGCATTATATCAGTGAATTTACCAAGGTTCCCCCTCCCCAGGGGCCTCTCTTACAAGTCCATAAGCAGAGTGAGCCAGTTATGCATGTGCTTAAATAATAAAATACAAATATAGTGTAAACCCATGGGAAGGGAAGTAATCCATCTCCCACTTAATAAAGAAGTATAGATCAACATCACATTTTATTTTAAGATCAAAAATGGTAATTTTACGCATGGTATACAGACAAGGATATGGGGAAAGGGACTCTGATCAGTTTAATGGATTCTAGCACACTTTTTTTCTGGAGGGTACTCTGTACTAACTGAAAAAAAAATAGCCTATTATAATGAATATTTTTACAAAGCATAGCATTAGATATGGACCTGCAAGTATGACATCATAGGAAAAAAAAACCACAAAGAAATTGATTGGAGTTTGAGATTTTGAGATTGAAATTAGTCTTTTGAACATCACAGCATGGGCAGTGATTGGGAAAATTGTGATTATTTCAAGTGAACCACGAGCTGCTGAATACAGCCCTGTAGAGATTCTCCAGGCTGGGGAAAGAGATGTAAAAGAGAAGAAATTTGCAGTCAGATATTATGGGACCCCATAAAGGACACAGCCTGCTACCCCTTTTAGCTGACATTGAAGGCATAGATGATAGATAGATAGATAGATGATAGATGATAGATAGATAGATAGATGATAGATGATAGATAGATGATAGATGATAGATAGATGATAGATAGATAGATAGATGATAGATAGGTAGATAGATGATAGATAGATAGATGATAGATGATAGATAGGTAGATAGATGATAGATAGATAGATGGATAGATAGATAGATGACACCCATTTTACAAAATATAAGTACAATGTCTTTTGCCTAGTTAGATGGATTAAATACAGAGGGAAAGGGGAAAAATGACAGAAGATACAGATAGAGCCTGGGTGAGGCTTCAAGATTATCAGAACATCTAAGAGTGGTGTAGACAAGACCACCCTTGGAGGGTTAAGATTTCATTTCATATCACAAGCATTCCAGAGGCATGTATATGAGCTACAGAAAGGGAACTATTCAATCTTCAATTATAACTTGAGATTAATAATAATTACTAATATACAGATACATATATTTTACAGAGTGTGTTTAATTCAATCCATTGCCTTCAGTAGGTGGGTATGGGCTGAGGGGGGGTTGAATTCAGCAATTCGGTCAGTTGTTACTCCTGACTGTGAGGACACAGCTTACTACTATTTATTTGAGTACCAAGGAGCTAGTATGGGGCTCTGTAAAATACGGACATAGAGAGCTGGAGAGACAATTAATGTAAGTATGTTCCTAAGTATGGATTAAGTAGAAAGAGATGGGTTACACAGCCTTTGGGTAAAGAGAATATTTATCTCTGGCTAAAGCCCATTAAAAATGATCATGTTTGTTGATCATTTCATTCTTTTGGTTATTCATTCAATCACTGATAGTCGCTAATCAGAATTTTACTAAGCATTAACTTACTGCTTACAGTCCACAAAGTTTCCAAGTAAATAGTAGTAGACAAAAGAAAATATTGACAACAGAAATCCCTTTTCAGTTTACCTGTGATTACTTTGTAATTTGTCCCACACTGCTGTGTGGTTTGTTGCTTTCAAACGAAAGTCTGATTTACTTATCCAAACCTTCCTTTACTTTTTCCGCATTAAGGCTTACACGGGCTTTTGTTATGGTTCGGTTTTTATAGAGGTCTTATGTAGCATAGGCTGGTATAGAATGCCACATGCAGTAGAGGGTGTCTGTCAACCTTGTCCCTCCTGTCTCTGCTTTCAAATGGCAGGGTCAAAGGTCTGTACCAGCTTGTCAACCTCCAGAAATTGCTTTTGCGTTTTTGGTGCTACTGGCTTTCATTTAGTAAGATGGAAGATTCTAGGCCTATACCTGGAGAGGCTCTTATATAGTGGCAGTTAAACACTGTGGTGCTCATTCAGAACATCACCAGAGGGCCCAGGCATCAAGGCAGGGGCCACACCAGGCACTCATGACAGGGGAGATGACAGAGAAAATGCTGAATTACATGCCCAGTACTCAGACCCAGGGATTCATTGTTACCGTCTCCAACCCCTGGTTCTGCCATCTCTCAGGAGGAGTTCACAAAGAGCAACTCCCGTGCTCTCCAAACCTATAAACCTGGCCTGGATTGCGACAGCGACTCTCTCTCAGATGCTTACCAGCATCAGTAAGTCTTTTCCTTTGTCTTCCACACCAGAACACAAAGCCACTATGTGAGCCGAGGTCTGTACTCCCTTCGTTTCTACTACATGAAGAATGCATTCTTGGCCGCAAGTTAGACAGTTCAGATGTGTGATGGAAACAAAGGCAGGCTGCAGAGGTGAAGCGATTTCGGCATGTTTGCAGTTCATTTCAAATGCTCTGATGTTGTTTTCACCGAATGCCTTCATGTTTGTCTGCAGGGTCCCTCAGGACATGATACTTCTTCCTCACACTGTGTGTCTGCTGTGCGCTTTGGCAGACATATGCTTGTCTCAACTTCCCACGTGTTTATCCCGGGAATGCCCTTAAGGGCTGTGAACCTTTATGGAAGTGAGTACGTACACCAGAAAGAGCAGACACCCCAGTCCTGCAAACATGCACGTCTGTGTGACTTCAAATATTTAACACTTATAAAAATCAACATGGAGAAGTTCAGACAATTTTGTAACTGTTGAAATTCATAAGAACAGGGCAATAAAATAGGTAATACTTAATAGGTAAACCCAAAAGTGCTGGGTTTCCTGTGAGGCGAATATATAAAGGAATGTTTCCGTCAAGGAACCTGGAAGAGAAATGGGCTCAACAAATAACCCACCATGCATTTGTTTTCTTAGCCAGCATGTGCAGGAGAAAGTGCTGGATCACTTTAAAGTTTGTTGATGTATTGGAAACTTAGCAAAGTTGTGGCTGCTGAATGACCCAACCTTTAAACTATTGTGCACTCAGACCTTTCAATACATTAGCTGTTTCGCACAAAGAGATGCCAAAACACGATTTCCAGTACGGTCTATTTCCTAGGTGATTGAGGATCCTCCTAAAAAGAATTTGGGTTGTGTTGCCTACTGTATGTGCCCTCCCCTTGTGACACAGTTACCTTTTGACACTTTCTGGATAGCAAAGAGAGTGTCTTGGAAAGGATACTACGCATTATCTGCATGCACTATCAACTGTGAAATGCCCATGCTCAAAGTTTTTCTCTGGCTTTTCTTTTTTGAAATTAAAATATAATGACATCATTTCCCCCCTCCCCTCTGTCCAACAAGACTTTTCTTATGGAGAACATCTGGGTCATAACTTGACTTAGTTTGTTGTTGAGTACTTTCATGAAACTCTATTGGGCCACCAAGCGGTAGTATGCCTCCATGGGGCGGTCTTGGCATGCCCAGGTTTCTCAGAGATGTCTGTTGGGGGCTACATGATGTTATCAAGGAGTAAAAGCTAGGAAAGGTACGAAACTATAATACCTTAGTACAATTAGTTAGCTCAGCATGCTGAAAGGGCCCTTACAAACATTCTTACCTATCTCCTTCTTTTTCCATAATAAGGAGATAAGGACCAAATCAGCTGGGATCTAGCTCACTGCAGAAAGCTATTTGTTTCAGGATTTATTACTGACAGGAACTAACGGCAGAGGAAGGATCTGTCAACTCCTAGCTAACCCTGCAAGCTGGCTAACGAGGGAACGGTGGGAAATAGCTGAAGGGGTCTCTATTACAGACACCAATTCTTTCCCCACTAAGATTTTTGTGATTATATTTTGTAAAAGCTAAGAAATTTGTCCTAGTTCTGGTAGACATAAAAACACAGTGCCACAAACTGACATCTTTGCTGTGAACTGACATTCTAAAACAAAATAAGAAGCAAATATGGAAATGCTCCTTCCTCC